TCAATATCAAGCCATTCCCCCTATAGACTCTATGGTTCAGTTATACTAGCTATTTTTTTTTTTGCTAAGTTTGGGTGTATACTATATACCAATACCAAACAGTACTATAGAAGCTTTGGACTAAAAACTGAATTAAACCATATAGTCTTTTCTGTGAAGCAATCAGTTTGCTAAGAAAAAACTTATAAAGAGCAACTGTTTGAAAAGCAATAGCCATTCATCTAAATATCTTTACTCAATTTTAAATCAAACTCTCATGTGAAAGGGCACTTTCAGTCATGTTATTGGAAAACTCTAAACTAAACATCATGCTCCCGTTTCCTTCCATAGTTAGTATATATCATTATTCTATTGTATGAAATGCCCTGCCTCCCTCTCCCTTGTTTTTTAAGACTCAGATCAAGGACTACCCTAGAAGTCTTTTCTTGCATTTCCCACCAGCCATCTCTGAATATTAATTTACATCTCTTTTACCTTTCCACAGATACTGTACCTTCTTCTAGTCAGACACTAGAAGTCTAAGCATTTTAATCTTTATAATAAACCAATAAGGGAAGAGTTGTATTACTCTAATTTACAAATGAGGAAAATAAGATTCTGGAAATTAACATCCAGACAGCAAATGTACATAGAGCTAAGAACTGAGTCCTGTAGGTGTGGCTCTAGCCTGTGGTCTCACACACTGTACTATTGGTGCTCAGTTAATTCTTGATGAAGACATGAATAAACAGAAATTTAAAATGAAGCAAACAACTAGAGAGAGGTTCTTTGTATCCAGAAAGCCTGGGCTGAAATATGAGTGCTTCAAGTTACTGACTATGAGACCTTGAAAATTCAATCTCTTTAAACCTCAATTTCTGCTTTTTAAAAATGGAAACGACATGGGAGGCTGAGGCAGGAGGATCGTTGCGAGTTCGAGACCAGCCTCGGCTACAAAGTGAGCTCAAGGCCAGCCTGAATTGCACACGGAGACCCTGTCTCAAAAAGACAAAAAAAAAAAAAAAAAGGAAACGACAGATTCTTTTTAGGCTGTTCTGGAGATATACACAGTTTGGCATATACTAGGAATCCAAATTCATCAGATTAAGTAGTTGGCATGACTTTATATAAAACACCAGTTTTAGTCAGAGCAGTTGATCAGAAAATATTTTACTAAATTTAGAAGGTGAGTAAGAGATATGATTCCAATAATAGAAAAGCTAACATATTCATGTTTATTCTGTGCCATGAAGTATGTAAATTGTAAACAAAAATTAACTTCATCCTCACAATGTCGTGAATACTATTATTATCTCCTCTGTACAGATGAGGAATTCCTAAGATTATAGAAGTCAAATGACCTAACAAGTCACACAATTAAAAAGTGGCAAGGCTGGATTCAAATCTAAACCCATCTGGCTAAATGAATACAGTTCCTTGGCATGAGATATGGCCACAATTTCTTCTGCCAATGCAATACAGTGATTTTGAGCCTGACCTCAGAATGGATACAGGAAAAGAAGACAAAGATGAGAGAGGTAATGGGAGAGGGAAGCTAATAAGTTAAATTCTGGGGAGCTGAAACATTTGGTGTCTGCGGTGTATGATCTATTCAACAGGCAGTTGAAATATAGGATTAGGGCAGAGAAGAGAGGATAAACTAGAAAGAAAGATATGACAGTGGTTTAAATTATGGGAAGAACTGGGTATGGTGATGCACACTTGTAGTCCTCACTATTTGGGAGGCTGAGCAGATTGCCTGAGATCAGGAGTTGCAGGCAGACAAGGCAACATAGCAAGACCCTGTCTCAAAAAGAATTACAGAAAAAGAGTAAATCACACAGTAAGTATGCAAAGGAAGAGAAGAGTAGAAAAAACCCTGAAAAAGATTGGCATTTAAAGAGCAGAAGGAAATAAGCCCATAATATACACTAATAAACAGTCAGAAATAAACCAGAGTATATACTTAAAAGCTAGTAGAAGAGAGTAGGAAGTGGCTTCTTAACTTCCGCAGTCAACAAATATCTACTGGATGCTCTTTCTGAGGAGCTAGTATTACATCAGTGAATAAAACAGATAAAGATTCTTGCCCTCATGAAGTTTATATTCTGGCCAGGGGAGATAGGCAATAAACACATATGCCTATAAATTTAGGTGTTGAGAAAATTAGGAAGGGTGGGAGGGTAATGGAGTGGAAGGAGTCACTCCCTATATATTGGAAAGGGATGTCTGCTCTGAGAAGGTAAATTTTGAATCGGACTCAAAGAAAGTGATCATGTGGGCCCTACGGATATCTTGGGGAACAGTTCTGTGCAGAGGGAGAGCAAAAAGAAAGGTCTTGAGACCAAGTGTGTTTGGTGTGGCTGGGGAACAGCAAGAAAGCTAACCAAACCTGGAGTAGAGAGAAGGACAAGTAAAATGAGGCACAGAAACTGGAAAGAATTTGTAATATCTGACACTGACCTAATATTTCTCAATTTAAAAGACACCCATGACTCCATATTATATCCCAGGAATGCTTCCTTCTCTTTAGAAATATTTCCATCAGACTTTTGTTCCTGCCATTCTATAAAAACTGTCATGATTGTTAGTGACCTCCAAATTGTCGTATCTGATAACTTTTCATTTCTTATACTACTTGACATTGGAAACAGATTGTTTCCAATCTTTATCTCCCTCACCTTTCTATCTTCTGAGACATCAGTCTGTCCTTCTTCTGTTCCTACCACAATTGGCTGCTTCCTTTCAATTACCTTTTCTAATTGCTCTTCGTCTTCCCAGACTCTACACATTGAAGAGCTCAGATTTTTCCTCCATGTATCCTCACTTCCTAGGTGATCCTTACTAGTCTCAGGACTTTAAATGTTACCTATATTCCAGTAACTCTCAAACATGTGTTCAGTCAGGCTTTTCACTGCACCCTAAATTCATAATTCCACTAGGATACTATTGACTCTATTTTTGTGACACATCCAGAATGTAGTGTGTTCTCCTTACCTCTACCTTTAACATTCTAGTCCAAGCCCCATCACCCTTACTTGGAGTTTCTCAGCAGTCTTTTCATTGGTCTCTGTATTCTACCTTCTCAGTTCTAAATATATTCTCAGTATTGCAGCCAGAGCAATCCTTTTAAGTCATTATTCAAATCATGCCACCTACATCAAATCCCTGCAGTGTCATCTTATTTCAGAATAAAAGCCAGAGTCCTACGTTAAAAAAAAAAAAGATGAGATGGAGCACAGACAGGCCTGGGAAAGTAAAACATGTGAACAGACAAGGTGAAGGCATTGAGGGTATAGTAAGACACTGGTTTTAAAAAAAAAAGAAACTGGTTTAAGGGGTGGGAAAGATATGTGGAGATAAGACAGAAGCAGAGACATATTTCTATGAATTGAGGGACAGGTAGATTGAGAGATAGACATGGATTGGCTAGAAGGATGGAGGCTATGGCCATGTGACTTTGGATTACGGAGGAGAGATGGATCAGGAAAGCAGACCCAGGGAAAAGGTATGAGCACTAAAATGGAGAAAGAAGTCTTTTGAAGCTGAGTGTAGTGGCACAGGCCTGTAATCCCAGCAGTTAGGAGGCTGAGGCAGGAGGATTGCCATGAGTTTGAGTCTAACCTGGGTTAGATACTGGGTTCAGGTCCAGCTCAAAATGCAGAACAAGACTTGTCTCCAAAAAAAAAAGTTTTTGTCCCAGCCATGGTGTGCATGCCTGTAATCCCAGCATTTGGGAGGCTGAGGCAGGAGGATCATAGTAAATTCGAAACCAGCCTGAGTTAGCTCAAGGCCAGCCTGAACTGCATAGTGAGACCGTTTTAAAGAGAGAGAAAAGTCTTTGCAATAAGAATACAGGATATTTCTGTGTAATAAGATTGCCCAGGATGACAGTAGGACTGGGATGGAGAATGCCTGGAACAGTGCCAATGCCAACAGAATGGGGTAATGGTAGACTACACTGGTAGAGTGGATAAAGGAGTGTGGAGGTGGGTGGAAGGGGTCTGAGTTGGGTGTCCCTTTTGAGTGTGAAGGGCTTGAGGAAATGGGGGCCTTTGCGACTGAGGAATCTGTAGGTATGCACAACGGCAAGGGCATAAGGTCTTGTTTATGGTTTGAGAATCTTGCCTAGTACAAAGAGTTTAATAGTATATGGAACGCTTCTTCAACTAAGAAATGTGAGGCGATATAAGGGGCTCTTTGGTCTAGATTCACTCTAGTGAGCAGTGCGAGTCAGGGAGGGTAACCAACATAGGAGTGTGTGTGTGTGTGTGTGTGTGTGTGTGATGTGTGTGATGTGTGAGGAGAGGAATCCTACACTTAGAGGTGTGTGGAGGACTTGGGTCTAATCCTGGTATGCAGATGTGATGGACTGTGAGGTGGTTTGCAGCGTTGGAACATGGAGTTCAGGTGTCAGGGGCATGCACAGGAAAGAAAGGGGTTGAGTGGGATGACAGTCCAGGATGTGCAGAGTTCAGGGTCTGATACCTATGGTGTGAGAGGACTGAGGAGAGGGGTCTGGAATGAAGAAATACTGGCGAGAGGTAGGTGGGGCCAGACGACTGAGGTAAGGAGTCAGGGTACGAGGTGAGGAGACTGAGACAAGGGGTTATTGTAGGGACAGGAGATTTTTGGTGAGGGTTTAGGATGTGAGGATAGGGCATTTTTGATAGGGGTCTGGGTACTGGGCCAGCGAACTGCGATAAGGGATCAGAATATGGCGACAGCCGACTGGAGAGGACTGGGGAATTGTGTGAGGGAACTCACGTGAGGTGAAGGGACAGAGGTGAGAGGTCAAGGTGTGGTTGAGGGCACATATGTTAGGGGTACTGGATGTGGGAAAGGGGATTCTGGTGACTGGTGGGTGTCAAGTGTGCGAGGTCCGGGGTGAGGGTTCCGGGAGAGGGACTAAGTAAGGGTGAGGACTGGCCAAGGGTCTCAAAAGAAGTGGCTCAAGCCCCTGGGAGCCCTACGTCAGGGCCCGGGGCGGGCGTCGGGGCCCGGGCGGGCAACTCACTCACCTCAGGCTGGGCCCGCGCTCACTTCTGCTGAGGAGCCTCGCGAACGCCACCGGAGGAAGGCAGAAGGCGGTGCCTGGTAACAACGCCCCGCCTCTTTCCGTTACCTAACCCACCCAGGGAGTGGCCGCTTGCGTTGATTGGCTGGCCGCAGGGTGAAAGGGGCGGGGCCTCGGGCTAGCAGACCCAGGTGTGGAGGAGGCCTGATGGCATATGGGAGCACAGAGCTGCACCTCTTCGCCTGACAATTATGTTCTTCCCTTGTCTGTCTATGTGTAAGGCTGTGCGCCAGGGCCCCATGTGATCACGGTATCCCTAGTGTCCAGAACAGCACCTGGCAGGGAAGGTGTTCCCGCCTCAACGTGCGCTAATGAATAGGTGGAGGCCCAGTATGTCCATCTTCACAGCTCATATGGTCAGCCTACATTGCCAAGAGCACTATGTCTCACAGAGGAGGAAGCCAAGGGTCGGGGATGAGGCAGAGCTCCCCAAAGGTACACCAAGCTGGAAAGGGCTGAGCACTGGGTCCAGCCTGGGTCGGCCAGGTGTTCCTGGTCCCTGGGCAGTGGTGTCAAATAACTAAGTGAGCACAGGCAAAAAAGGCTGCCCAGCACGTAGGAGCTGGGCACATAAAGCTCCAGATGGGTAGAGGCTGAACAGAATGCAGTCCAAGCCCTGCTCTGTTCAGAGGGTGCTGGGTGCTGCAGAGCATGGTAAGCAGAGGAATGGCACCTCTGCTGGAGGTGGTTTGGGTAATGATGGAAATATAGACAAGAGAAGGCCTGATCTGGTAGAGAGGAGTACAAAGAGCCAAAGCCATTTAGGAGGTAGACTTGACAGGTCTTAGTAATAGGGGAGGTCGGGAGGACAAGGAATGAGTTGGGGCTGGAAGGTGACATCACAAGCTGATATGTGGACTAGATTGAGAGAAAGTTTGCAAGGCAGTTAACTTTGAACAACTTGTGTTTGAAAGTACTGGCTATCTTGGGACCCTTGTACCTTCCCTCAAGGATTCTGATTCTTTTTTTTTTTTTTTTTTTTGTCTTTTTCCTTTTTATCGGTACCAGGGATTGAACTCACGACTGCCTGCTTGCAAGGCAGGTGCTTATGCCGCTGAGCTAAATCTCCAGCCCCTAAGGATTCTGATTCTTAGCACACCGACTGCAGAGGAAGAAAACAACTGGAGTGAAGTCAGACTGTTCTAGACACCCCGTGAGTGTTAGTGTATCTATGTAGGAGACTGTCGCCTGGGCCATGCCGTCTTCCGGAAATGCCAGGCTTCTGCCCCTTGTGAACCTTGTTTTCTGGTTGTCCTTTCCAAAATGTGAACTTTCATACTTCTTCTATTTGCCCACACAGCCTAGGGCTGATTTATAGCACTTCAGAAATACATGAGTCAGGATTAACTCAGGAAAAATAGGCATTTACTAGGCCTAGTGTGGGCCCAAGACTCCAGTCAGAAAGTGCACTGAAAGTAAAGGTCAGGGTGTGGGAGAGAAGACTCCAGCAAGGTCAGTGTGGCTGGAGCATGAGTAGCCTTGAGTACCCTGAGTGGAAGAGGGAGGTTTGCTACCTGAAACAAACTGCAGAGTTCAGGCCATGAAGGTTTGAGTTCTTTTTTTTTTTTTTGGAACCGAGGATCGAGCTCATGACCTCGCACTTGCCAGGTAGGCACTTATGCTGCTGAGCTAAATCTCTGGCCCTGAAGGTTTGGGTTCTTAGGAAGTTCAGATGTTCGTCTGGCCTGTCCATGACCTTGTGTATCTGAGACCAGACAATTTCCCCAAATGTTTCGATTACAGCCTGGGCACACAACCAGACTATGTCTCCTAGATTCTCTTGCACTGTGTCCTGGTCAGTGAGATGTAGATAGAAGTGCTCTGCCTCACTTGTGCCCATCAAAACCTTTCACAAAGTGACCCCTCACCCTTCTCTTCCTCTATGTCCTTGCTCAGTGTTAATGCTGGAGAAAGGGTCTCTGCCAGCCCAGCTCCTTTAATGATGATATGGAGTAAAACCCCCACATAAACCCCCCATGTCAGCCAACTAGATTTGATCTGAGCAAGAGTTAAACTTTCATTCTCTGAAGCAACAGAGATTTTAGAATTTAGGGTGAAGGGAGGGTAGGGGAAAAGTGTAAAAGAAGAATTTGTTAATAGCTGATGATCTTATCTAAGGCAAATTTTGCTAGCCCATGAAGACATAAAGGTTGGGCTCTGGTGGATTGTCACCAGAGGTTTATATCCTGGTTTAGCTCTATGGTTACTTTCCTCACTTATTTTAACCAAGAATAAGCCTGATAAAAGAGCTTTAATGATTGGTTTTCAACATTAACTAACAGCCAGCTTGTTTGAAACTTTTTTTTGCTCTTCTGAGATTGAATGAACAAACTAGTGCTGGGTAAGAAACCTATTGAAACCTAGACACTTTTTAAGGGAAGATTACATAGGCACTGTGAGAAATAGAAGTCTATGAAAATATTTTGGAAGCCCAAGAAAGTTCTGATATGAAATGTATCATTTTGTGAGCAAAGTTGTACTTTTATATACTCATGGAGACTCAGAAGTGGTTAGGATCCTTGGAAATTCTTTTGATTTTAAGAACTTTTCTTGAGGTATGTGTGTGTGTGTGTGTGTGTGTGTGTGTGTGTGTGTGTTTGAAAATAGTGTCTCACTATGTAGTTCAGGTTGCCTTGAACTCACCATGCAGTCTAGGCTGGCCTCAAACTCATGGAGATTCTCTTGCCTCAGCCTTCTGAGTGCTGGGATTATAGGGGTGTACCACCATGTCTGGCTCCTTTTCTTTCTGTCTGCCTTTCTTTCTTTTCTTCTCTTCTCTTCTCTTCTCTTCTCTTCTCTTCTCTTCTCTTCTCTTCTCTTCTCTTCTCTCCTCTCCTCTCCTCTCCTCTCCTCTCCTCTCCTCTCCTCTCCTCTCCTCTCCTCTCCCCTCCCCTCCCCTCCCCTCCCCTCCCCTCCCCTCCCCTCCCTTCCCCTCTCCTCTCCTCCCCTCCCCTCCCTTCCCCTCTCCTTTCCTCCCCTCCTCTCCCGTCTCAGAAGTTGGATTGAACCCAGGCTTTTGCATTGAACTATATCCCAGCCCGTTATTTATTTATTATTTACTTATTTGTATTGTGACAGGGTCTCAGTAAGTTTCTCAGGTTGAACTCAAAACTTATTCTGCCTCAGCCTCCCAGAGTTCTGGTATTACAGGCATGCGTCACCATGCCTGGCTACACAAGGTATCAACTACCTTAAAAACTGTTATAAGGAGCCTAGCTCTGTCCTTAGTTTTTTAACTTACATTTTTGCATCTATGAGACATTTTCATGGATTTTTTATAGGCAGGTCAATTTTAACATTTAAGAAACTCTCATTTAATTGCCCAATCACCTAAAATAAAAGATGCGAGTTGTCTGGTACTTTTATGTCAGGCTTGTCAGTCTGCTTTGGCATTCTCAGCTCCTAGGTCTCCAGTACTATGGAATTGCCTTACGTTAAGCCTCTCCATGCTCCCACCTATGCCAGTACTACACGTAGGGCCCGGAAAGTCCTCCTGCTTCTTCCTTTTATCCTTTCAACATGGTTAGCCAGAGCAATTCCCTTGAAATTAGGGCAGATTTTGTACCCTTTCCCCAGACTCGAACACCTTATCCCACCACGAAGCCAAGTCAGAGTCTGGTCTTTAAGTCCTCTTCCTTCTCCTCGCCCCTCCTGCCTGCCTCCCTTCACACCAGCCACACCCTCCTGTGCTCAGTCTCCATCACCGCAGGGGCCTCACAGTTTCGGCTAGTGCTATCCCTTTGCCCAGGAGTGCTCTTTTTCAAGTACCCTTCATGAAAATGTGACAGGGACAGGGCTTCCTCCCTCCTCCCCTTCAAGTCTGTAGCCAGTGGCCCCACTCAGGAGGGCTTGCCTTTCCTACCACTTGAAGTTGTCACCCACTCCTCCATTGTCCCTTCCTTTATTGCTTTCCCCTTGGCACTTACATCCATCTGCTTACACGTCCCATGTAATGTGCACATTCTTTTAGCCACTGTCTCTATTTTTCTCTGGACTCTAAATCCCAAAGGCCGAGTTTGGCAGTTTTGTCACTGCCTGTTGCATGGCTGTTTCTAGACGTCCTCCCAAAGCCTCATGTAGTCACAGGTGGAGTTTTCTCAGAAGTAGTTGCATCTAGAGTGTGCGGTGCTGAGATTAATCTATGGTGCAGGGTGAGGGTCAGGGTACTAGGATTAAGGATGTGAGTACTACCTATTCCAAGTAGCCTGATAAGCTAAAAGGGGCAAAAAGACACTGCTAAGATCCCTTGCTTGTTTTGCTACCTTCTGTCTGCCATGAACTGTTTTCTGCAGAGCCACCTTGCATTGGAGCCAGGTGATTATGGAGTAAAACCTGTACAAACTGATCTAAATAAATTTTTCCCCTTTTAACTTTGAGTGTTGGATATTTTGTCTCAGCAACAAGAAAGTAACTACGTAACTGCCACATCCCAGAGCCTTGAACACTGCAGGCGCTGGGTAAGTACTTGCTAAATGGGTCATTCCAAAAATCCTCTTGGTTTCTGCCAGCTACTTTATATCATAGTGATTTCACATGAAATAGAGAAACACTGGTATTCACCACTGATCTCCAGCATGAGCTTATGTATGTGGTAGGTGGTAGGTGCTCAACACACACTGGTTCCTAAGTGAAGGCCCAGAATTGAATCTGATGCATTTCTGGGTCCCTGGCTTTTAGAGACTGCTGAGATCTGGATTCATTCAAGCAAGCAACAATAGTAATTGAATGTCAAGCTTTTCTTTTCTTTTTTTTTATTACTTCAGAATTTATTTAAAGGCCGGTGGAATGTGACACTTTTCATAAAAATTATTTGGAAACCTAGCCTGAGTGAAGGAACATGTCACTCTGGGTTATCTCAGAGTGTCCTCACACATACTGTCATGTGGCACCCAGTCTCAGGCCTGGGATTGATTTCTCCCTGGCCCTGGTCATAGAGCAGGCAGGTGGGACCCAGTCTCTACAGACATACAGAAGTGGTTTCAAGGAACACGTAAGGTTTGGAAGCAAGAATTTATTTCAAGTGCACATGATGGTATGCATAGCAATCTCAGAGCCTCATCACTGAGCAGAGATACAGTCACAAGTCCCTCATGAACAGTCTCCCAGCCCCTTTCTTTGCCATTTTTCTGAGCTAGGGAAGGAGAAAGGCCTTCTAGTTCCCAAATAAAACACAGGTGCCTAAGGCTGAAAGAGAACTACATGGCCTTATTTTTATTATTATCTACCAAAACAAAAATCAAAATTCATCCCTGTTCCAACCCCACCTTCACCACCTGGGCCCTCAGGAAGCAGCATCTGCCTTGGGAGTCCTGGTTGCCAGAGCTGTCCTTGGAGCTAGACACCTGTAGATGGCCATCCCTCATGTCTACAAGCCCACCACAGCCCCTTCCTCCATGCCAGGGGTACAAAAAGGCAGCTAGCATTTTTCTAGCCTTCAGTTGTTAGCCTTGGGAACTTGGAAAAGATCAGCGATGTCCAGCAGGGCTTGGCGAATATGGTTCCCAAAGCGCTGAGCATTCTGTGGGAATTGAGAGCTTAGGCACACCTTCTGGTGACCTGCCACCATTCTCTCTCTACAAAGGACCCTTCCCCATTCAGAGTGTGCTCCTAAGCTGCCCTGGTGGCAACCCTCTACAGAGCTGAGCAGGAGCAAGGGAGACTCACCGTCTCTGAACTTGAGAACTTGCTAGAGACATGGAAGAAGATAGTGTTTTCACCTGCAATCATATAGGAAACCCCATAGCCATCATCTGCCACCTGAGGAAGAGGTAAAAGGGAAGATGAAAAATGACTTTGAAGAACTGGAAGCTAAACTCATTGTATTTGGTCATCCCACAACAATTGTAAGAAGAAGCTCCACCCCTAGATGCTGTATTCTTCCTGAGGTCAGCCTCCCTGGCAACCCAGGGAACTGTGAAGACAAAGAATGGTTCCGCTAATGGTTCTGGACCTTTCCTAGGGATCTAGGATTCCTGTTTTCCTCAGGGCGCTCATAGTATAGACTATTTCCTCTCCAGAGAGGCCTTTTGACAAACTAGGCCATGTGCATGTCTCAGCAAGTTTCATGCAAAAAAGCAGGACATCTGTGGAATCATATTTCACAAAGGCCCAGGGTACTGGCCTGACTTGTGGGCATAGTCATATTCTAGCAGGGAGGCGCCTGAGATGGGTGGTTTGGGTCCTTGTTCATGTGGGCCGACTGTTACCGTTCTGCTGTTGTGCAGGTCCAGGACTGTCCTCTGATCAAGGTGTCCTGTCCCCATCAAACCCGACTATGGTTCTCATTCTCCATGGAAAGCCTGGGTCCCAGTACTGCCCAACATTCCCTTCAGGGATACTCACAGGGCCAAAGCCACCTCCTGCAGCCAGGTGCTTGGGATGCTGGTTTGGGTCAAACATATGGATCTGGGACTGAGGGATCTGGCTTGTGGACAGGCGCCAGGGTTCCGAGAGCACCTGCGACAGGGAGGCTGAAGCTGATCAGATGCTAAGCACTCGGCATGCAGCTGGCTGACTGGCAGGACCAGAGATCTGTTCTGTGACAGTCACTGAGTGTCCTGTGGGGGATGGACAGGCCCCCTGGTCCTCAAAGCCTTTTAGTAGCTCTTCAACATTTGCACAGACTCATCCACCTTGCTAAGACCTGTTTGACGCACTGTGCGTCCCTCTGTTCTGCCATCACCTCTTTTCCTTCTCACTAGCACTGTCACTACACAACAAGTTGTACATTGTCTGTTTGCCTTCACAGGAATGCTGGTTCCATCGGAAGCACCCTGTTCCTGCTCGGTCCCAGGACTGCAGGCCTGGGAGGGCCATGGTATAGGAAAACTGGACCTTGTCCTCCAGGCAACTTCAGGAGAGTCAGTTGCAAATGAGCCCCATTACAGAAGGCTAAGTCCCTGGACCTGAAGACAAGGGAATGAGGACATACCCATCAACCACACTGACCTCTGCTAGGAATGGGGAGCTGACCCCCAGGTACTTAGAGACCAAATAAAGGCAGAAGAGGTGCCTGTCAATGCCAGCACCCGTCATGGCCAGGCGGTACATGTTTTGGTGCTTCTCAGAAGCTTTCCGGAAGAGATCTTGGAGGTCTGCTTTCTGGGAAGGGAGAAGTAAACGAGTAAAGAGTGGCCCTACAGCTTGAGGTGGATAAAAGGTGCAGGGAGGTGCAGAGAAGGGAGTGGTGAGGGGGCCTCACCATGTGGGACCCCTTCATCATGGCCTGCACAAAGGCTGTGGACTCGCTAGTACAGGAACGCACAGTTTCAGTTCGTCCTTCCCGGAACATTCTGGTCATTGAGGCCTCATAGGTCAGGCAGAACTTGCCCTTGTCCTGGGGCAGAAAGGGAGTGAATCTAGCAGGTGGATCCCTGAAGCTGCCCTACCCACTCAGTAGCCTAAGAGTGCTCCTACCCGGAAGTGAGCCAGCTGCAGGGCGATCTGTACAAAGGCATCAGGGCTGGTCCGACACTTCTTGATAAGGCCTTTGCCAAAGGGCAAGAACTGGAAGCAGTACAACTCCACATCATCCGCCAGCACCTTGGCTACCTGGTAGGAACTGTCGATGACAGCCTGGCACTGCCAAGACATGGAAAGAGTCACCTGTGGGTACAGCTCTCCAAGCAGGATTCCAGGTCATATGTAGGAGGCATGAAGTTTGGTTAACAGAAAAAGGACAGAGTGAGCCTAACACCTTCCAACCTGGGGACACAAAGGGCAGAGCCTAGAGGGCAGAGAGAAGCACTGGTCTTCTCTGGGGCTATTCTGAACCCTACCTGGCATCTTGAGAAGCCCCTGTCCCCTCCTCCTGAGGACCATGCTAAATGTGAGGTTGAAAAAAGAGGGGAAGGCACAGCACCTCACACTGTCCTGGCATGCATACCTGCTTAGGAATATCCCATTGGAGCCTCTGAGGAGGAGCCAGCATCAGATTTGGTTCACCCATGCAGTGCCCAGTCTCTGTGTAGCCCAGGTGGAAGGTATCAGTGCCTAGGACAAACTGTGGGGAGGAAACTCAGCTAAGAATCAAGCCTCAAGGCAGTGCCAACCCTGCAGAGCCCCTGTTAAGGCCTGTTACCTCCCAGAGATGCCCAATAACAGGGGCATCTGCCCATGCATGTTCTGTATTGAGGCCCAACACACCATTCTTGAAGGAAATAAGAGTGAAAGACTTGTCAAACCACCTGCAAGAGTAGACACAGGGATGAGCCAGAGCTGAAGACATGGGACCTTAACATACAACACTAATGATCACCAACCTAACTCTCTAACTCTAACCACTAACCCTGATCCCAAGCCCAACCCCTGATCCCAAACTTAACCACTATTTCTGCTCTCCAGTGGTAGCCCTGACTGTAACTAATAGCCATAATAGGAACCTCTACCCCACCACTGAACAGTAAAACTGCCTAACCATTACTAGGACACTAAACTTCTACTTTAATTCTCTAGCCCTAATAGCAACCTTTAACCCTAAACCCTGACCTGCAACCTGAACCTCAACATCTGACCATGGAGCTAGGACACACACCTGTTGTAGCAGTTGCCGTGCAGCAGGGCCTTGCCATATAGGCTGAGGCTGGCCTCGTCATCAGGGCTGTAGCAGTGGGATTCCTCATCCAGGGCCACAAAGAAAGCAGCACGCTCAATGGCATCTAGAGAAGCCTTGTTCTTGCCAGAGCTGAAGAAGGTCTGGCGTGCTTGCGCCCACTCTACCCTGGAGGCACATGGGAAGCTAAGTAGTAAAGCCAGTGTGTACCTGAGATGAGGTTACTCCAGGATGGACAGGGTGGGGTGGGGTACCTGGCTTTCCTGGAAGACATCCTTCCAGCTGGCCACCAACTGTCAGGTGGATGATGCCAGCTCTCTACTGCTACTACCACCAGGGCCTATCAACACACATGTCCTTCATGCTGCCCTTGGTTGTACCTTTGGCGCCCACTCCCAGGGAGACAAGAAGGGCCAGGTTACCCTTCTCAAGGAGCCTTGAATCTAGACCAAGACAACCGCTCCCCATAGGGTTGATACCTTCCTCCTGCAGTGAGGGCTGCCAGCTTTTCCTCCCCAGGCTGAGGTGGAGAGGGGTCATCCAGGATCCTCTGGAACTGAAGCTCCAAGTCCCGAGGCTTGAGCAGGCGAGAGCCCTCATAGAGCCACACCTTGAAGAAGCGGCCCTTGTGGTAGACAGCCACGTGCCTGCTCTCTGCAAGGTGCTGCAACACATCTGTGATGGCCAGTTGATGGGCTAAGGTAGGGCCTTGGGGAGCACATGCCCTACTTCTGAGCCCTGCAAAGGGTCTACCTTCCACACATAAGTGGTCCTGCAAATTGTGCTTTGCCCAGTGTCTGGCTTGGCCCTTCCTTCCCTTGGCAGGGGTAGATCCTGTGTGCTAGGCCAGGGCCTGAGGTGGGTGTTCCCCTGATTTCTCACAACAACACTGTGAAGTATCCCAGGAAAAAGCCTATGTGCACTCCCCAAGGAGGCAGGGTCAGAAACAGGGAAATCAGTTTCCTCTGCCAAACTCCTGGTGAGCTCCTCCTCCCTCTTCTGTAGGCTCCATGAAGAGCAACTTTTGCTTCTCCTGAGCCCCACTACCACACAATGCTCCCTTCATGACTTCCCTCCCAAGATGAGAACTTTATCTTACTAAGTGCCTTGGAGTCCCCAAAATCAGCATCTTGCTATACATAACAGATTCTGGGGTTTGTTACAAACTACTCTTCACAGGTTAACCACCCTGAGACATTAGGTGTCATTAGTACGTAGTAGGGCACCTGGCCGCAGTGGACCCAGAGCTGGGGCTTGGTTCTACTGTGTACCTGTTTCTTTGCCAGGGATGCGAGTGGTATTGAACATCCTCTCCATTTGGTAGCAGCACATGGGCACAATGCCTAATGCCATCACCTGCAAGGAAGACCCAGCATGGTTCAAGCCCTGGCCTTTCCTCTCCTCCCACACTCAACCCTGATGTCACTCACAGGCTTGATATCTTCACGGTCTAGTTTACGGCGATACATGATCATGGCGTGGACAGCATTTCCCAGGCGCGCAGCCTGCACGTCTGTGTTCTTGATAAGCACAAGATCCTATAGACAGTGTAGAGCCCACAGGGCAATGACCATTGTCTGGGTGTCATCTGGGTCTCACCAGCCTAAGGATCAATTTATCTAGAGGCCTGGGCTTGCATTGTCTCTCTCTAGTCCATCTTGCATGCTATCAGGGTGAGCTTCCAAAAACATATAACTTGGACATGCTTAACTATATATGTAATGTATAATTTTGTATGTATAATGTATAACGTTGCTCCAGCTTTGACCACAGCTGTTTTTTTTATAACTATTTTATTTGTTCAAATTTTGCTTATATTGCTTCAAAGAAAGAGTTCCACAACTAAAAAAAAACAGCTTAAAACCTTTGATTTAGAAAGGAAGTATCTACATTTTTGAAAGAACTGTTTGTGGAAGATGTGAATTCCAGCAGGAGTGTGCTTCTGACAGTAGAAGACAGACTGGTCACTAGGCACCAAGAGACAATGAGGAGACAGTCAGGACAAGGGCCAGTCATGGGGGGTGACTTCCTAGATACTAAGAGATTATAGAAGCTGGCTCTATTCTTGTGGTCTGGCTCTACAGAGGGACAAAATGAGGCATGTGGGACCAGGGATATAGCTCAGCAGCACGGCACCTGAAGTACAATGTTGTGAGTGCGATCCTTGGTACCAAAATAAACAAACAGACAAAAATAAATAAAGTGTGCTGTTTAAAAATGAGGCATGTGTTAGAACTTTGCCAGGAAACGGTGTTAGGATAGCCAGGAACTTATGACTGGGATGCCAGTGAGGGAACCATGGAAGGAAGTGACACAATCTGAGTGGGGCTGGTTCAGCAAGCTCCGAGAGATTTCAAGGCCATGGGGTCTTGGAATTCTCCTTATCTCAAGGATCTTCCCTGCGCCCACGCTGCTTCTGGACTACTCTTACTTCTCCTTTTGCCTCAGATCTTACATCACAGCATTCACTCACCCATGGGAACCACCACCAGGGCTCTGAGGATACTGCAAAGACACAGCGAGCACACACAAGAGCCCTGAGAGGCTCTGGTTCTTACCATTACGTAATAGTTGCTGTTCACCATGAGTGGGCTTCTGCCTCTGAGGTAGACGTACTCTTCCCACCAGTCACTCACCTGTGGGTAGACGGAAGGTCAGAAGTGGGAGGAGGCAGCCAGGCCATCGTCAGGGGAAATGGGTAAGATGGAGCTTGGGAGGCAAACTTACATAGTTAGTTGCCCACCACGACTTGAGTATCAGGTATTTCTGCAGCCTGGGGGCAGTCTTGTCCTGGAATTCTTTGGCCAATGTCTCCATGCGGTAGTATTCCTTGTCCTCCAGCAAGGGCCGCACAGACTCCAGGTACTGTTCAGCCAAGTGGGGATTACCATGGTGCTGGACATTGCCGACTGCCTTGATCTTAACCTGTTTCCTATCTTTCTCTCCTCAACCCAGCCCTATCACTCTCAAACGCACTATTTACAGGCAACTGGCATCTGTGTTTAGACACGTCCTCAAATTTAGCCTCCCGTGTCCAGCAGAACCCAGGCCCTCACCCTATGAATTGTGGCTGGCACACTGGGCACAGGAAGCTTCGGAAGAGATGTCTGGAAGCTGTAGAGCATGGGCCGCTGGCTGGACAGAAGGCGGACACAGATCTGGGGGTATAGGGTACAGTTTTAGAGGGGATGCTGGCAGGAAAAATGGACATAAACCAGAAAATGACTGAGACCCTCAGAACCGTGTCAGCCCCTTTAGGCACAAACTGAAGCACTGGGCACCAGCACCCAGTCTGCCTAAGCCCTCCTACTCAGAGCCCCAAGTGAAGCCCTGAGGGAGTCAAGTCAAATGCCTGCACCCTCCAGTGCTTCTGCTCACAGCCCAAATCTTGGTGAAGCGGCTGGTCTTGCCATGCATCTCAAACATCCACCCGTGGTAGGAAAGCAGCAGCTTCAGGGTTTGGCGGAATAAGAAGATGCCTGTCACCCAGACCCCAGTGGAGAAGATGGCCATGCTGAGAAGTGCCCGGGTCTGTGGGGTCTGGTAGGGGCCACATCTATTGGAGAAGGAGGGAGGTTTACAGGGGTTTCCTTGAGGGAATTCTTTTCTCTCCCACTTTTTCCCCTCAATACTAAGCATTGAACCCAGAGCCTTTACACTGAGCTACATCTCCAGTCCTTTATTTATTTAGTTAGTTAGTTGCTTTGAGACGGGCTATCACTATGTAGTTCAGGCTCACCTTAAGCTCACTACACAGTTCAGGCTGGCCTGAACTCATGGCAACCCTCCTGGCTCAGCCTCCTGATTGCTGGAATTAGAAGGGTAAGCCACCACATCTGGTGATTTGGGGAAATTCAGACTGCAGTTGAAGGTTACGAACTATTTCTGGGGAGTTGCTGAGGGGTAAGACCCTCTCTGGGCATAGTCAGATCTGAATCATGAAATACAAACTAACACAGAACTGGGACGATGATGGCCCCTGTGGGAAGGTTGCTCTGGTGGCCACCAATGGCTGTGGCCCTGTATCTGGCCTTTAGAGCTGGCCTGGTCTCCCCACTCTGCCTAACCTTTGTGCTCCCCCAGCTTCTTACCTCTCAGGGAGGTACCTCTGGATACAACAGACCAGCCCCAAAGAGATGTCCACTTTGCAATAGGAGAAGCCCACTGTAGCCATGACAACGACCAGCCAACTGGTGGGGCTGCCAGGGTACACACCCCTAAGAATGCCATTCTGTGGAACAGAAACAGGTACTGTTGTGGAGCAGGAAGCTGAGGTAATCAGACACCCTGGAGTCCTGGCAAAGACCCCTTAGCCTTGACCCATCCACCTTCTGTGCTCTTTCTTCCTAGTCCTCCTCACAGATTTACAGTTGCACACCCCATTACTCACTGTTCCCCACCACACCTCCAGCATCTGCTCTGGTTTCTCCACCTACCAGCACTGCCAGCAGAAACTGCGACCCTGTCATTGGGCAACAGCTGACCCCACATGCTTGCTGGGAGAAAGAGGAGGCAACTTACACCAACCTTAATTCGAATCAGGCGTTTCTTCCAGGAGTTGATCCCGGACAGATAGATGTGTTTCAGGGCTTCCCTACTGAGCCTGAAGTCCACCCCATCTGGGGTCACAGTGAACTGGAAGGCCACAGCCTGGTGCGCTTCTGCCATCCTGAGAGCTGCTCAGCACCGGTGAGCTGGGCAGATCGGGGTGAGGCCAAGATGGGGTGGGGAGGGTGGTAGCTATAGGCTCAGAAGCCCCTGCCCTGGCATGCCCCCAGGTGGAGAACCCACCCTGCCCTAGCCCACCACAGCCCTCCCTTGCCCCACTAGTGGCCGCCCTGCCTGCACTCCCACCGCCTGCCAGCACACCAACCCGCCCTGAAGCCAGAAGCCATGCACTGGTGTCTGGCCCTACCGCAAGGGTCAGGGATTCCAAGGAGGTCAGGCCCTTCAAAGCCCAGAGCCCCAAAGACCATAAAGGGCAGCCTCCGGGCAGGGGAAAGGCACCCCGGGAAATGAGGCCTCGGCATGGGAGGTTCTTGCAGAGCCAGGGCCATGGTGTAGGACCTGACTTCCACGCTTTTGTGCTAGGTTTGCAGCCAGGACAGGGGAGAGGGTACAGTGGCAGGGGCGGGTGTACCAGGACCCTAACTCACGGTTCAGATTGCTCCTGTCTGTGTATAGGACACGCCACTCTGGCCGGCGTCCTCACGTCCTTCTGGCCTGATCACCCCAGCCCCGCCCTCACTGGCAATCTGATACTCACAGCCAAATTGGGGTCGAAAAACAAATGCAGAGTAGAAACCAGAATCCCCTCCCCTCCCCAGCAGGAATCAGGAGGACTGGGCAGGGTTCTCACAGCTGAAGGCTGCAGGAAAGTGGGAGTCTGGGGGGGCGGCCTCAAAGGATCTCACGTGAGGATGAGCTAAAAATAGTCGAATGTAGGGAAAAGGTCACTGATATGTCAGCTGTGTGGCAAGTCCCCAGATTCTGGTCAGGGTTGGCAGTACCAGGACCCTCTTTGTAACCCCCACCACTCCCAGCCTGCACTGCAAGTTCCAGTAGGTTAGGTTTAAACTGGAGCCAGAGGAGAGGGCTTAAGGGCAGAGGATCCCAGTGAGGGGAGCACTGAACAGACTGGTCACTTCATCTGTGTGGATCCCGGATATAGCATTTCTGCCACTTCTGAGCAGCACCAAGACACAATGGGTGTGAAGGAACAAACTCATTTATTAAGGTATACAGCCAAGGGGCTCCCGTCTCCCTGCTTGCCCCAGAGACCTGCTCAAACTTGCAGAAAGGTCGGTCTCCTCAACCACTCTCTCACTCAGGGACAGGCCCAGTCCCCAAGGTTTCTTGCTCTCAAGATTCCCCAAGGTCCTGCCCTGGAGGCTCTAAGAGAAATCCAAGGACTGAGGGTTGGACAGTCAGGAGGATGAGTGGACGCTGGTCAGCTGCCTCTTCTGCTGGAAGTAGAACTGGAACCGAGCCTGGGCATATTCCTAGGGAAGGAAGCCCACCCCATAAAGTGATGAGAAGGCTTAGGACCAGCATGCTACACCCACCTTGGCTGCCCTGATTTCCTACAGGACATGTAGCTCTTTTTTAATTTTTTTTTTTATTCAAAACTGTGCTATTAGGTCATGTAGCTGTTGCTGCTTCTCAGTCTACATCTAACGTACCTTTCCCTTGGGCTACTTACCAAGTAACCAAATTCTATGGTGGACATGGATGCCTGGAGGATGGACCATAGACCCCAAAAGAAATGGGATGCCAAAGCATACCTGGGAGTAGGGGGCAGGAAAAGTAGGAGCTTTCAAGATCACATTTGGTATTACCTGGACCTCCACCCCAGAGCAGTCAATTCCCAGAATTCTAACCACTCCACTCATTGTCCTAATCTCTACCTTGTCAATTCTTCCAGCTCTCAAACTCTTCCTCTTCCCAGCCTCAGACTTCACCTTCCGTCTCTGCCCTACTCTGCACTGGCATCTTATGTGGGCCCCTTTCTTCTATGCACTGCCTTACCCTCAACCTGCTTTTCCTTCCTCACCGATTGGCCTCTACCAGCAAATCTTCTTCCAGTTTTTTCTGCTCCTCTTGAGCAACAGTCTTGCCTTTTTTTACCTCTGCTAGGTAATGTCGAATAAAATGGAGCTGAAATCAATGACAAGAATCAGAAATTCAATGACTCAGTTATTATCTTCCCTGGCCATTCCTTCCAGCCTTGACCTCCATCCTCCCGCACAGGATGAGTCTCGATTCTTGGCTCCTAGCTGGCATACCTGCTGTTCCCGAGTGGGGTAGTCTGTGGGTTGTGCTTTGTAGAAAGGCCATTCCTCATGAGTATAATCGTAAACCCACTCACAAAAATGGTTCCCAATGTCAAAGCCCCTGAGGAAACAAGGTAGATGTTCAGTCCCCTGATATCTGGAGCAGCTGGGATGGAGACACGAAGGTCTGATCTACTTTTTCAGGGCCCTGTGGGAACAGGTCCATACAAGACTACCCCCACCCCACTTCACCTGTAGTTGTAACTACTATACTCAAAATCAACCAGCATCAGGCTGTCAGCATGTTCGGGCTCTGAAAGCAACAAGATGTTCCCTGGGGAAACAAAGTGGGGTTCTGGTCACTTCGAAGCTTTCTGGCCCTTCCACTTTGGACTGAGAGACTCAATGTTTTTTCCTACCTTCCTGGATGTCATTGTGGCAAAAGACCACTGGAGATGGGGTAGAGTCTAGGAACTTCCTGCAGTGATAGAGGGGATTGGGTCCTGAGCAGAAGTGACTAGAATCACCCTCATAGGCCAGGCTCTGATCCCACCCCTAAACACAGGGAGGGCAATGCTCCTGGAAGAGGTGCCACTTCCTTCACCTCCCACTCCCATCCTGTCTGCCCTCACCTAAGGTTGTCCATCTCATCCTTCAAGCTGTACATCTCTAGCAGGTTCATCTGTAGGAGAGTAGTAGAAGGCAGGTCCTGGATCTGCTTTAGGTACCTGAACCCAAAGAATAGGATACACCTCAGTCTGCTATTCATCCTACCCTCTCTCCTATCTGTACTTCAGGCTAGACTATGTTGCTTGTTTTCCTGTCACTGTGTGACTTGGTTGGCAAACCTAATCCACTCAACTGGAAGGGTGACACAATCATGGTTCAGTTTGGGTATGCAGATTCCAAACCGGACTCACCGCTCCATGGTCCCAAATAGCCAGCGGGGTTCTTTCGTGAAAGGCATCTCCATGCCATGGAACCGGGCCATCTTCGTGGCAATGGCTGCTGACAACACTGGCTCTCGAAGCTCTTGAGTTTTCAATGGCCGGCTCTGCACCCAGGAGCCTATCAGGGTGGTGAGGGGGCTGGGGCAGGAGGGGGAAGGGATAGTAGAATGGAGGGGATCAAGGTCTTGGGGAAAATTCCCTACCTGGGGATGTGGAGGAAGACACTGGGGGAGGGAGACAGGGATTGAGGAAGGACAGGGCTCGTACTGGGAGGTACTGTTCCAGCCGGCCCTCTGGAAAGACTCCATAGAGTTGAGGCCCCAGCGACCGCTCTGCAAGGATGGCAAACATCACGCTTTCAAGTACCAAGGACTCCACACCCTGTAGGAAGATGGATAACAAAAGGGCCCAAGTCAGGGGAGGCCAGAGCCTAATGTGCCAGGGCACACAGAGGAACATCTGCCTTTTCCACCCACTACAGCTGAGACTGGGTTCTACTCTCTGAAGGCTAAAGAGCACAGTCTCTAGGATGATAAGGTACAAGTAACTTAACCCCGGAGCTTCAGCGCCAACTACGCAATCAAGACAACACTACCTCCCACTTACTCCACAGGTCACCGGCCTAGGCGATTCTCACCCCTCCTCACCTGCAGGATGGCCCCATACAGCCGCAGCAGCACCTCCCGGGGCTCCTCGCCAACGCTGGGCAGGTGGTCCGGGAGCGAGCAGCGGAAAAGCAGGTTGCTGAGGCCTCCGCTGCAGACCCCACAAGCGGCGCGTTCAAGCCCGGCTCGGGGGAGCCCAATCAGGGACTCCGCCTCCCACCAACCACGTCCCCGCCAGACCCCCGCTAGCCCCGCCCCAGCCCGGCCCAGCGCGGCTCCCGCCTCACCCCGGCCCCCAGTCTGCTCCAAGCTCGGCCACTTTGGGGCTGGAGAAGCACTCAATATCCTGCTGACCCCAAGAGTGTCCCCTAACCCTGACCCGCGCGCAGGAGGGGCTGACTCTTGACCTCCCACCTCACAGGGCAAACCCTCAGCTCTTCGGGACGCACTCGGCGCCAGGCCCCGCCCAGGTACTCGCGGCACCATTGGTAGGCTCTGCGTTCAGCGTCGCGCGACAGCGAGGAGGAGCGCCTCCGGTTCGGGGTCGCGTTGGGGAGTTTAGTCCACCCTAAACTGTCCTTGGCCAGGTGGCCGCTGATAGCCCCGGCTCCGACCACAGCTGTCCCATCTGCTGCCATGTTGCTGTCTCCGCAGGGCCCAGCGCCCAACCGCCCTGAACTCCCTTCGCGCGGGCTCGGTTCCTTCCGGCCGCGCTCGGTGCTGCTTCCTCCGGCCCGCGTTTATTCGGCTTTCGCAAAGATGTCCGGTTCTCTCCTTGAGCCCGATCCAGGGGGCTGTTTCCTAACGCCAACTCAGCCTCTTTTGGCCGTGCCCCGCCCTGCTTGAGGAAAAAACCAATGGCCTCTTTCCCTGGGGGGCGCGCCCTTCGCACGCCTTTGGAGCGGAGCCGAAGCCAGGAACCGAGAAAATAGTATGAGCCAATCAGGAGCGTCGGGAGGGGTTGCGCGCGTCACGTGACGGACGCAAGCTCCGCTGGGTCTGCCGGAGGCGCGCGCCGCGGAAGTGCAGTTTCGTGGACTACTGCGCAGACTCCTTTTCCGGAGGGATTTAAAGACACCCGGGTAGTGCTAAGCGTGGTGTGTTAGGCCTGTACACCTAGGGCCCCGGAGGCTGATTGTTGTGAGTGTGAAACCAGTCTGGGCTAGCAAGTGAACTGCGTAGTGAGACTTGGTCTCAGACACACGCATACACGCACGGAAAACACCCAGGTGTGTGAGAGACACGTATTTAGGGTGTGGAGACTAGGGACACATGGCAGGTTCCTAGCAAACACTCGTGGGTGAGTGAATGAAAGAATGGTGCCCTTGGGAAAATTCTGAGACCTCAACATACCCTTAAACTCCTAGTAGCCTCCAGGCTCCCTTGTCAGTAAAGATACCTTTGAATGAAGAGGCCTTTGCTGTCCTGCTTGAAGCTATTGCCTTCACTGTCTTTTTTTGCCTCCAGACTTAGGGCCAGTTAGACCATGCAGCAGACACTTAAGACTTAGGTGGCCCTGGCCCAGTGGACAGAACTCAGCCACACCTCCCAGGAACAAGGCAAGAGTTGCAGCCAGGCAGTTGATCTTCGGTGGAGGGATCTCGGTGCACTTTGGGTTAATAGATAGGCATTGAACTAGCAGATTGGAATGACCTGGCAAAAATGAAGACTGGGTACTGGGGAGGCTAATGTCAGTTGCTGCGGAAGAACATGATGATCCCCTACTCTGTTTAAATCTGTGCCAGTTCTGAGACCAGAGCTTATTGCTAGAACAGGAAGTGTGGTCTCTAAGGAAGCAGCCTACCTTGTTACCATAAATATGTATAAAAACTATTTTCCCAATCCTTCCCTAAAGGTACCTAGAACCACCATTTAAGTCATTTAAATTCAAGTAACTAATTTACTTTGTACAAGAAACTACCCAAACCTATCTGCTAGGATTATTTCCAAAAGATGAAAAATATTTCCAAAAGATGAGAAGTATAAAATAAAAAGCGGCCTTTATTCTGAGAACAGGGAGAGAGATGACTGGCACCCCCACTGCTGGCATCCTGCATCTCTCCAGCAGACACGTGGCGTGGGGGCATGTAAATAGCCTCGGTTTGGGGTGGAACCTAAGGCGGGCATTAGGGATGTACTGGTAGCCCATTGGTCCTAGGTTTGGCACCATATGTAAATTTCCAGGGGTGGGAAGATGGTGTCACAGGTAACTTCCTAGGGGCAGGGAAGATAGGGGCTTCCTGCTTCCCGTTGTGGTTTCCTGGCTACAGTGTCCTGTCTGGGCCAAAACCCTTTCACTATCAAGGTTAGATATGGGCTCTTTCTGTAACACAAGTGACCCTTGAGGTTCTTGGGGTGAAGGACTGCTAGACAATGAGAAAATAAAGAAGAGACAAAGCCGGGGTAGGGTGGAGCCTTTATTCCTCCTGATGGGAGGAAAGGTACTGGCTCCTCACTGCAGGGGTGTTTATTTAATACCTTTTAGCAACTTAAATGTCATGTGACACCTTGTCCTAGCAACCCACTGTTAGGATTGTCTTGGGGGCAGTCTTCTCTGTGCTGAAGCAGCTTCTTCAGATGGCTTGCCCCGGGTGTTCTTTGTTCTTGGCATGATCAGGTTCCAAACTTGTATGTGTGGTTGATTTTCAGGTTCACTAGCTCCCAACAGGCTCTTCGCTGGCATGAGAGCTCTAATCCTCCAGTTAGAGTGAGGGTTTGTGGAAATCATGCCAAATGGAATCCTGGCCCAAGTCCCTGAGGTTTCATCTCTGGTCTGGGATGTACCTAGTAGTTGGTAGAACATATACATTGATACCTAACTTGTGAAGTGTGAACAGTGTGGTAAGCACAGCAAAATGTGGACAAACTATCCACATCAGCTTCCCGCTTAGAACAGTAAATCAGAAATAATATGGAATTTTAGGTGGAGTTGCAGACTATATTACCTTCATGATCCCCATTTTATACCTTCTGTCCACCTGAATGGTAATAGTGGACTACCACAAACTTAGCCAAGTAGTATCCCCAGTTACAGACAAGACCAAGCATGTTCAGGGTGGTTTGACTATAGACCGTGTTCCCAGTTACAACAGCCATGCTGAGTGTGGTAGCATTTTCTGAACTCATTAATACATCTGTGACATGATACTGAAAGTATTGGTATAGTGAACATTCCAATTCCCAGTTGTAGGAAATCTTGTAATCCACAAATGAGCCCCCCAGAACCCCCAACCTCGAGTACAAAAATGGGGCAAGACATGTTTTTAAAAAAGCAGCGCTGATTTATTTTATCCTGAGCCCACCGACACAGTGCAGTTGGAGTTTGCAAAAGCTGTGTGTCTCCCTCAAAGCTTTCCAGACCTTTTGGAGAAAGCACAGTTTACAAAGTAAGGGGCTATGGGCGTAGATCAGGAAATCTGCTAAGGAATGAGAAAGACCTTTGTTTCCCTTGGCAGAGGACAGAGAAGTCTAGCAAGAATTAACAATCCTTTGTCAACTTATTTTAGCACAATATCTGTTATTTGTAGAGGGCAGCAATGGTTAACATATCAATTAGGTCAGGTTCCCAGGGACTTACAATTTTTTTACAGAGGGGAACATTGATTAACATACTAATTAGTTCACCCAGAAAAAAAAAGATGCATACAGAATAGTATGCGGCGTTACAGGTACTTTAGCCATATAACTTAGACATAACACAAACATAACGAAGCTCTTTTTGCTAGTGTACAGCAGGAAAGATCAAGAGCAGTTAATAATTATAAAGGAAGGACAGCCACACACATTATCTTTCTCCAAGGCTGTTTAACTCTACTGTTCTCTATTACAATGTAGTCCATGGGGACTTTGTCATCTGGACATTCCACATACAATTGATCCCATCACACTAAATGGACATGGTGAAGAAAAAAGTCACAAGTGCTGGCAAGATAGTACGTGCCAGAAGATAAAACCCTCAGAGTATGAAGCTTGTCACATCAGTGACATTCTTAGGGATGCAGTGTTCTAGGAAAATCCACAATATCGCCTGTAAGGTAAGAACATATTATCGTTATCAAGGAGGTATAGCATTTGATGCGCCTATCAGCTTCAGAGTTAGCATGTACTATACATGAGAATACCATCTGTTGTAGTCAGGGTTTGTAAGGGAAACAATTTAATACAGGACATACAATTTATGGATTTATAATAGTCATCCAAAGAGTCAAACACAAAAAGTGCAAGAAATCTATCCACGTGTTAAAAGACCCCAAAGAATCCAGCAGAGGGCCTGAATCCCATAGAAATATACTGCATGAGTCCCACTGAAGACCTAGAGGTCATGCGAATGCCCCTCCTGCAAGTCCAGCTGGAGGCCTAGGGCCCACAACAACACTCATGAAAGTTTGTTTCACATATGTGCTCTAGGGAGGTTCAAAGGTCATCAGTGGAAGCTAGAAAGTCTGCCAGCAGGCTGAGGATTATGTACTGGAACCAGGAATCAACAATCAAAATAAGGACCAGAGCTCTCCTGCCCCCAGCCATCCTCAGTGACAATGAGGTCCCCAGCTCCTCCAGCGACGAGAACAGCTGAATTCATGTCAGGAAGCCAGCATGACAAGCTTCTCCAGAAAATTAAACAGCATACCATCTTCCCCTCCAGAGCTAGGAAGTGATGCTCAAAGGACTAGAACTCCCCCAAAGTGAATCACAGCCATTGTCAGTGCCAACAAGGACCCAAGTTCCTCTATTGAAAAGAACATCCAAGTTCACATCAGGAAAGAGGCTCAATAAGCTCTCCAGGAGCAACAAATGGCAACAGGAGAATCAACAACACCCAACAGAACCAACAATACCCAGGGGAACTACAACACCCAGAAGAATCAACAACACTACCTCTTCCTTCCCAGTTCTCCTTTTTATCTTGGTAACAATCCTCAGGTGGGCCATCCACGCTCAGCACCACACTGCTTCAGTTCAGCTGTTATTACAAGTTGACTACCAGTTATGTTTTTTCTTTTAAACAGCAGTTGTCAACCCACCACATCATTTGACACAGTTTTTGAGTAGCTAGAAAGAGTACCAGCTTTGAAGTGTGGCCCAGGAAAAAAGAGGGCTATCTCTGCTGAAGATCCACATTGGAGACCACTCACTAATTTTTAGATGGAGCCCACAGGCAGAGTACATATGAACTTCTTGGGTTGTGATGTCTTTCTTGTTGATCAGGAAAGATCAGGAAAGGATAAGATTAGAAACAGGAAGATCTGGGGAGGCAGTTGGCCCAGGGCGTGTCACAAAATGTGTATCTCTGTGTGTCATGCTGACATCTGTTGTAAGGAGTCACTGAGCAATAAGATGGATAAAATCAGGTAGCTTTGCCTTTGGCTACCCAGTGCATGCACAGTGGACCATGGGTAAGGTTGCCATGGTAATAGGAGTGCAGGTTTTGCTTACCAACACGGGCTCTCACTTATCACAGCTTAGCCAGTTTTATTGCTGTTGAATATCTGACCAGTTAGCATCTGAGATCAAGCTTACTCCCTACTATCCCTAGAGGAAACCAACTAGTCACTCAGTGGAAAACTAGTACAGCCCATTTTTTATACCCTACTCATTCATCCTTTCTGGAATTGATCCCTGGTTTGCATAAGGGTTGGCCTTCTTCATCCTCAGTGCCTTAGGCTAACATCACTATCTAAAAATTTCGAGAATGCTTGACTTACCAACATGTGATCATGTGTAACATTACTTTAGGCTAAAAACCTCATTTTATAATGAAAGAGGTTTGACATTGTGTGGATTTGTCATATGATATATTGCTTCTCTGATGTCTTGCATTATCCTCAAGCAGCCAAATGAATAGAAAGATGGGATGATACCTTAAAGACTTAGCAAAGGTCCCAGTTTTAGGACAGTATTCTGAGGGGGTATATGTGGTGAA